TTCCGTGCTTCTCCTTGAATTCTCTCTCTTTTCCTCAGTTCTAAAAAGAACCTTAGGCAACTGTTGGCAGTCATCCCATGTGGGCTGTTGAGTGAAAAGGACAGAATCTAAAAGGTTAATTAAATCCCTCAGATTTTCAGAAAAATTTGCATTTTGGGATTTCCAATTGTAGAGATCACTAGTGGAGAAGGGCCAGTACTGATACACCTGTTCTCCATCCGCCCCAGGGGGTCCCACCACCTGTAAAGGGAGCGCCTTTATTGGCTCTGGATCTGGAGTCCGACCAGTTCGCTGCCGGGTGCCCTAGGCCGGGCCCTTTACTGGAGACCCCGCGCCCTCTACCGGAATCCCCACAGCACCCTGGGCCAGTGGAGCCACCTCAGGATTGTAGGGCGGGGGCGAATTCTATTCCAAATTTATAAGGTCCGAATATAGATTGGAATGATTGGAATCCGGCAGGACAGGGGGTGACCCCACTGGAGGGGGAGGTAATCTGGTGGGTTGTGGCTTTTGCCCCTCCTTTTTCCTTGCTCCTTTTGTTACCATAATTTCGGCCTTTTCCTTAGGGGCGGGCAGAGTTGTCTTTACCATGATGGCGGATCCTGGACCAGATCCTGCCAAACTATGATATAGGGGATCTGGTCTGGATGGCCGAGACGGCCGAAGACTACCTCCTGTACCTTTTCAATGAGCGAGGTGTCGAATGACCCTTCCCGTGGCCATCCCACCCCAAAGGTCAGCCGCTCTGCCTCGCAAAGGGTCATGAACTTTCCTTTCTTTACCTCCAGGGAAAGACTATGTGCCCTTGCCCTCACATCCTTAAAATAGCCTACCACGTTGGACAAGGGTGTTGACCGGGTCTGTCCCATGCCTGCAGAGGGGAGGGACACGAGGTACACCTGGAAGACCTAAGAAAACAAGTAAAATTAGTTCATCTGATTAGGCACTGCCGTCGAGGGTGTCACTGGCAGTCTCTCTTTCCCCTACTGCCCACTGCTGCTGCTTCTCGCAAAAATGGGCAGCAACACTTGGCCTTAGTCAGATCCTGTTTTAGCTTCCCTTGTGGTTGGTTCTTACTAGCTATTCAAGGGGGAAAAGAAAAAAGATTATTAATGACAGAAGACGACATGAACATTCAACCAGGGATTCCAAACAACACAGACAAACATGAAAGACACAAACAATTACCAATCTAGTCCAGACTTCCTCCCTGACTCCCTTCTGACTGAGCCTCCAGCTCCTAGGTCAGCCGTAGGGATTTCCCTGGGTCAGAGGGCATCTCCTTCTGACCCCGACCGACGACCCACCAGTGCGTTCGCCTAGGTCCTTTGTCAGCCCTGACTACTGGGCTACTCCAGAAAACGTAGTCTCTATTCACTCCTCCCTCAGTCCTGAATTTTGTTCAGAGGTCTGCGAGATCCTGGACGAGCCCCCAAATGTTAGAGTGGGAAACCGTAGGACCACAGAACAAAGAGACAGGGTCTCTGAGGCTGAAATCATCAAAAGGAGTTTTATTGACTAGCTCGAGCTAGGGTCCAAGTCCCAGAGCACCAATATGGTGGCCTTTATTTGGACAAGGAGCCCGCGCACTGTGGGATGGAGCCCTTTATACCCTAGGTGGGTCCTGGGTCAATGGTGGGTCTGCTGTCTTCCCCTGGGACCAGCTTCTGTGCTTCTCCTTGAATTCTCTCTCTTTTCCTCAGTTCTAAAAAGAACCTTAAGCAACTGTTGGCAGTCATCCCATGTGGGCTGGTGAGTGAAAAGGAACTTTTCAAGGAACTTGAACTTTACGTTGATTGGCCCCTTGTGGCCACGCGCTTGACCTTCACATTGATTGGTTGGCCCCTTGTGCCCACGTGCTTGCCCTTTACATTGATTGGTTGGCCCCTTGTGCCCACGTGCTTGCCCTTTACATTGATTAGTTGGCCCCTTGTGCCCATGTGCTTGCCCTTTTATTTCATCCCCAAATTTACTGCAATCAGCCCGCTCAAACCAACTTCCTAAAAACAAGCAATATACAGAAGCTAAAAGAAAGCAGTTAGCCTGAGGCTTCACAACACAGAACAAAGAGACAGGGTCACTGAGGCTGAAATCATCAACAGGAGTTTATTGACTAGCTGGAGCTAGGGTCCAAGTCCCAGAGCACCTATATGGCGGCCTCTATTTGGACAAAGACCCTGCGCACTGTGGGACGGAGCCCTTTATACCCTAGGTGCATAACCTGCATGTGGGATATTCTTTGAATGACCTTTTTAATTAATTTAATCTCTTTGTTATGGGTATGTTAGCATATAGTGTGACATCTTGAGTCTATTTTGATTTTTTTATTTTTACATGGTTTTGTTTACAATTGTTAGCATTCCATGTTTCCAAATTGTCATGGCAGTCGATATGTAAAAATAACGTGAAAGAATGAGGCTTTGAGGCAATCTATGAATGCTCTCTCTAAGTGTCATCTTATATATGAAGGGGAAAAAGCTACTGTACCTACTACTAATACTTATATAAGACAGATGAGGTATTGCATCTAAAGTAAAGTAGGAGATTGTGCCATTTGACTTTGGCATTTATCAAGTGATGACAGATTGACCCTACTGTCCCTATTTTGTGTCAATATTTATATAACATAGAAAACGAAACTTATAATGGGAAAAATACAAAATAACATTGTTGGTGAAGACTGGTATCAGTGGTTGATCATTTGAGGAATCAGTGGTTAAAATATATATAACATATAAAGTATATTGTGTATTTTCCAAGCTACTTACATGTTTTAAATATTATAGTTATATATATAGCACAAATATCTGTTGAATAGAAGGATAAGTTGGCACATTTACAATTATCATAGGTGACATTAAAACTATAATATCACAAAATGAATTGTTTTGGTCTGCAAGAAACATTACCACAACACATGGTAACTAATTTTATTAGCAAGGTTAGTTAGTTAAGCAGATAGACACACATTAATGACAGTTTTTTCAGTAACCTGATTATATACATTATTTTCAATTCCTAGAAAAAATATTGAGGATCATAAGGTTTTAGGCACCAAACTTGTAAATAATGTCCTAAAAGCAGAAATCCTATGTTGTATTTTCTGTCAGCTGTGAAATAACAATTAATCTACCCAAGTATAATCAATAAGTATGATCTAACCACATGCAACTATAACTAGATCATTTAAAATAACATGTGGTTTAAATAGAAAATCCAAAGTGAGATTGTTTTAAGGAGTCAGGGAAGTATCAAGGAGGAAGCACAGTGATTGGAACCCAAATCTGAACTCAGGTAACTAATTCAACAAAACTATCTTAAAATAACTTAAAAAAAATAAAAATTACTAATTCTGGCCATAATAGTATTCTTCACTAAAGTGGAAGATTATTCCTTTAAAAATTTGTTCAATACATAAAATTAGTATTAAAAATTTCACACTCTACAAATTATTATTTTTTAATTTATATGGTATATTACTGGGGTCAGAGTATATTCTAAAATAAGAAACTTGGGATTTCTTGTGAGACACTGTTGTCTGCCACCAAATATCTATGTGAAATATTTTACTTGTGTATGTATTTTGTATATGTGTGCTTTTGGAAAATATACTGTGTAACCCCAAATCTCTTGTGCAGCAATAACTATTAATAAAAATACTTACATTGAGTTTACTTTACACAGTCATCAAATGCAAGAGTATTTTATCTCCTTTATTATAATGCTTTGAGATTTTTAAATTTGTACTGTCTAGAATTTCCAAAAACTATGTCAACCAACATGGGTGGAAATAGGCCTTCTTTTTTTTAAATTTAATACTAATGCATAAATTACTTCTTTTATGCAGTAAAAAGAAGAAAATCTTTTCTTAGTTTGAGGCAGTTGCAGTTCCCATCATGCTCAGGAATTGTCCCTCTGTAGTTTGGCATCATCTAAGCTTTCCTATCAGCAATGATTGCTGGTTTTGATCTCTTGGCAATAATTTTTTACAGAGTGTGTGTGTTTTTTATTTTTTATTTTTATTTATTTATTTTTATTTATTTATTTTATTTTTATTTATTCTGAGCCAAATTTGAGGACCATGACCCGGAGCCACCGCCAAGAGTCCTTGTGCAAGTGGACTCACTGTGGCTGGGTTACAGTTTGGTTTTTATACATTTTAGAGACAAGGGTTACGGGTAAAGCCATCAGTCAATGTGTGGGAGGCATACATTGGTTTGGCCCAAAAAGGAGGGCCATCTCGAAGGGGGGGGGGCTACAGGTTATAGGTGGGTTTAAAGATTCTTTAGATTGTAATTGGCTAAAGACATGAAGCTTTGTCTAAAGACCTGGAATATTTTAACATAAACTGTTTACCAGAGATAAGCCACCATTTGTTGCAAATTGAGGGCCTACAGGTGTGTCTTGCATACCCTCAGGCCTGTTAATGGGTTACAAAGGAAGTCTCCAAGAAGGGAGGGGGGCATGATAAGGCCTGTCTGTCCTCCCTCCTCCTGGCAGGCAACTTTGCCCTTGAATATTCCTTTGGCCACGAGGGAGTCCATTCAGTCAGCCAGTGGGGGATGAGCATATTAGTTCACACAGAGATGGTCAGTCAGGTGTGGCCACAAAAGGAAAGACAGGAGAGGCTCAGAAAAAAATTACATTAATGAATGTATTTCATTTATTAGTTTGAATAATTTTGGTGGGCTTGGGTCCCTGGTTGCCTGGTACTTGGACTGTGATAATTAAGGCAGATGAACAGGCCAGGTAGGGGAGGTTTGGCTCTGAATTGGTTAGTTTGCATATTAAAGACATGCTCCCCTCTGGGTCCTTTGTTATTCTTAAGAATTGGCTAGCCCCTGGAGGGTCAGTCTCTCCCCAGCCAGAAAGGGTTTTTTAAGATGTCAGAGCATCCATATATAGAAAATTAAAACTTATTTACAGTGTGTTTTGTGTGTGTGTGTGTGTGTGTGCACTCAAATCTCAAAAAACACATTTCTGTTTCATTTTTTTTTCAGTAGTTATTTAGGTTGCCTATCAGCAAGGAATGGATTTCCATGGACAAACAAGTTTGAAGACCTGAATTCGGTTCCAGTGCTGCCGTTCAAAGGGTAACATTATGTAAGCCAGGATATCTCTCTGGAATCCTGTTACCTTGTTTCTACCATTATAATTTCCAACAAGACCAGTAATCTCAAATACATGACATTTATACCCGGCACCTCATGCCCTGGAACTCACCTCAGGAACCTGCCTATATCCATCCTGGCTAATGGGATTACCTCTCTCTTTCCACAGAACCTAAATTTGGTCTCAGAAAAATTCTCAACACGGCAACCCAGAAAATCAGCAGCGATCTCTGAAACTGGTGTGCACCACAGACACCCATCAGCCGACAATATCTGCTCTAGGACCGTTCACGTCCTTGAGTCCTTCTCCTAGGTAAAGGATTCTCCACATTTCGTTTCAACATCATTGTAGAGTGTCTACTGCTTGTCAGGCCCTTGGGGAGGACTGGGAGACCACCTGCTCCCCGCTGCTGCTTGGTCTCCAGTCCACCACTGTGAAGCCATCGACTTCTCAGGAACAATTCATGCCCAACATTACTCCACGTGGTATACAGTGACTGTGTATTTTTTTAACCTTAGTAATAGGGTGACACGTATTTGTGACATTATGCATCTCAAAATAGGAATCAAAGCCTTTACAAACTGCTTATAGTTTTCCTGAAGTCACTGAATGGGCTGTGCACTACTTAATTGTCATATTGATTTTGTTCTGAGGGAATCAACACCTATATCTGGGGCAGAATCCCCCATTCACTTATGGAGAAACTCAGGCCAAGGGAACACAGTCATTTAAATGGCAGAATGAGTTCTTGATGAAGCTAAGAGAACTCAGTCTCTCTATTAGCCATTACTAATTCTTCTGTGAACACAAATTATGCCTTTGGCTAGTGGGTTCCACCAGAGGAGGCCCTGGGCACTAAGAACTTTCCCTTAGGCTCAGACACTGTTATCCAACCTGGTTTTCCTGCAGGCGGTGCTGAATGGCTCACAAGTGGAGGGCTTGGCTTCACATTCCATCAAAGCTGAGTCTTTCAGGAACTTGAGATGAGAGTCTCAGTGATGAGTAATGAATAATAAAACACCCTCTAAAAAGAAAACCATTGCACTCACTCTTGAGAGGCTCCCTTCCTCCTGCAGCACGTGGCAGCCTCCTTTGAAAGGTTTTGCTCTGGGGATGAGCACTGGGAGTACTGAGCACTGGGAAATGCAGATGTTTATTTGTCGTCAGTGCCACTGACGACGGCACTTAGGTGTGCCGATGGGAAGGAAGTGCTGACTTGGAATGTGAAGTGCCAAGGAAATACTAGCATGTCCCAAGACAGGAAACAAATTAACTTTTGGCCCACATTCTTCTAATTAATGCCCATGTTCTTGCTAATTTCTTTCTTTAGCAAGAAATAATAGCCTCACTGTACCTCCATCTTGAGAATACATTTAACCAAACCCCCAAAATAAGGCCAAATAAATTAACAAACTTTTATCATTTCATGCCCAGCCCCCACTCTAACTTCCACAAACCCCACAATTCTTTGGTGAGTTCATTTCATTGCACTCAAGGAATACAGTATCAGAGATCAGAGGGCTATATAATTAGAAGGAAGCTTTTTTTTTTTTAATTTCAGCATAATATGGGGGTACAAATGTTTAGGTTACGTGTGTTGCCTTCTCCCCGCCCCCCTAGTCAGAGCTTCAAGCGTGTCCATCCCCCAGATGGTGCGCATCGCCCTCATGTATGTATATACCCATCTCCTCCCCCTGCACCTGCCTGATGCCCGATAAATGTTATTCCTATATGTGCACTTAGGTGTTGATCAGTGAAACCAATTTGCTGGTGAGTACATGTGGTGCTTGTTTTTCCATTCTTGAGATACTTTATTTAGTAGAATGGGCTCCAGCTCTATCCAGGAAAATACAAAAGGTGCTATAACCATTGTTTCTTAAAGCTGAATAGTACTCCATGGTATACATACACCACATTTTATTAATCCACTCATGTATCGATGGGCATTTGGGTTGTTTCTACATCTTTGCAATTGTGAATTGTGCTGCTCTAAACATTTGAGTGCAGGTGTCTTTTTCTAGAGTGTTTTTTGTTCTTTTGGGTAGATGCCCAGTAATTTAATTTTATATTTTAGAAAAGTTAGGTCGACAGAAAATTGAACTGATAATACAAGAGTTCCCATATACTCTTCTTTTTCTCCTATTGTTAACATCTCACATTAGTGTGGTACCTTGGTTACAATTGATGAATTGATTTTGATACATTATGATTAACTACAGTCCATTCTTTCCATAAGCGTTCACTCTTTCTTTTCTCCAGTTGCATGGACTTTCACAAATGCACAGTGTCCTGTAACTCCCATTCCAGTTCATATAGAGTAGTTTCACTGCCCTAAATCCTTTTTGCTCTGCCTGTCCCTCCCTCCCCCTACCTCTGGCAACCACTGATGTTTTTACTGTCTCCACAGTTTTACTTTCCCCAGAATGTCATGCAACAGGAATCATACAGTATGTAGCCTTTTTAGATTGTCTTCTTTCACTTTGTAATATGCATTTAAGTTTCCTCCATGTCATCTCATGGCTTGATAAATAATTTCTTTTTATAACTGAATAATATCCATTGTATGGATATGGCACAGTTTATCCATTCAACTCTGAAGGGCATTTTGATTACGTTTTGGTAACTGAAACATCTGCAATAAACACTCACATGCTGATTTTGTGTAAACATAAGTGTCCAAATCACTAGGGGTAATACCCAGAAGCACAGCTGCCAGATCATATGGTAAGACCATGTTTAATTTTGTAAGACACAACCAAGCTGTGTTCCAAAGTGACTATAGCAGTTTGCATTCACACCAATAATGAATGAGAGTTCCTGTATATCACTAGCATTTGGTATTGTCAGTATTTTTAATTGTAGCCATTCTAATAGGTGTGTAGTCCTAGCTAATTTTTATTTTAATAACTAAACTTTTAAGGAGTGCATTATTATTTCTAATTTCCTATTAAGATCTACTTTTAATCCCTAAAGCTGTGATACTATTTTTTTAATCAATTATCAGTACTTTACACCTGAGTATATTTAACAAGGTATATAAGGGATAGATAGGAAAAGAAAAATAGGAGATATTTTTAGAAATGAATATGAAAGGTAATCACCCTGCATAAGCATAGCTAAAATAATGACTAGTACTTATACAGTTTTATTGCATTTGTCATTTTACTTGATTATTAAAATTGTACAAGGAAAAAGTTTGTATTAACTCAAATTTTACAGAAGAGGAAATTGGGTCTCAGTATTGCATGATTAATAGGAGTCCACCTGGTCGTTACTTGGAGCTGAAATTGATGCCCAGTTCTCATTAGTCAGTTCCCTCTTTCTCCTCAGATTTATTGTTTCTTGTACTCAACACCTTTTGGGTTGCAAATGCTTATTCCTACCATCTGGCACGTGGTGTTTCCTAACCAGTTTGAGAAAAATGAAGGAGACGAGAGTCTCCAGTTACAGATCCTCAGGAAAACTACCCATTTTATATTTGATAACTCTGCTCAGTTAAGCAGGATCCGGTCTCCCTTCTCAATTAACCAGTCAGCCCAACCCACAGTGTTCCAAGGGTGGGCTGTTACATTTGGCTAAATATTTGACCTGACACTCAGCCTCCCTTTCAGTATAATTGGAGACGTGGCTGTTTCATTCACCTGTCACCTCTGGCATCTGTGAGCAGTGAAACATCACTGATCCGAGCCAGGGTTTTGTGCAGCTGGCAAGGGAAGCACAAAGCCTGGTATGGCCGCATGCAGAGGTGGACCAGGGCATCTGGGATGTGGTCCTGCTTTTTACTACTGAGTTCTATGATTTCAGCCAAATGTACTTCTCCAACTCTCAGTTTCCTTAACAAAGGGTTTTCCAGCTCTAACTTTCAAATGAAAAGTTGATTATTTCCTTCTCATTTTGTTATGTCCATTGTGAAAAATGATGCTGAAAAGAAGGAAAAATGTCCTGTTCACTGTTTCTTTGGAAGAAAAGGATTGATAGAAATAGCTCTACCACTGCTAACATTTACAGAGAGATTTCAGAAGTCTAACAATCCTAAAGAATTAGAGAAAAAGCTGAAAATTGATGACAAAAATTTCTAATTAATGGGGTACTTCTCTACCTTTCACTGTGTCTTCTAATGAAAAAATTATTTACCACTTTTAAAAAAAGTAACATCATAGTGTCCTTCTCTCATAGAGGTTTTAGTCTTGGCATTTCTGCAAAATACATGATTAATTTTTGCCAGCTCCAATTTTAGATAAAGGAGAAATGTTTTCATTTGTAACTCAAGAGATACCTGGATTTTTAAAAATCCATCTGAATATACAGAGATACCCCTTTTAAAGTTTATGATAATTTATTCTCCTTCAAATGACTTTCAAATGTTGATATCGCTAAACCTTCCATAAACTCTATTTATGGATAGTTTAAAGAATATAGCCAAAATCACCAGTTCTTATGAGACCATTGAGGATGGAAAGAGCATATAATATTAACCAGAGATGTGGGGGACACTAATATACTTGAATTATAATCAGATAAATAGTATGACAGCACAGTTGGAATCAGTAGAAAAAAAGGAATAAACCTTAGAGTTGTTTATGGAATTCTGTTATTTGTGTGTGAATGTTATGGTGGCTTCACATTTTTTATGGAAGTCCTGTTGATAGACCACTCAATGTAACTGGCATTGGCAACTGCTGTCAATATTGTCCACATTATCTAGGATGGACTCCCATACACCCTGAACAGGTGCAGGGTCTCAGCCTGTCAGATTCTTTTCTTGTCACATCACAGGCCCCTCGGCATCTTGCCATAGCCCTCCTCCAGGCCCCCACCACATCCCTGTTCCTCAGACTGTAGATGAGAGGGTTTAACGGGGGTGAGGATGGTGTAAAAGGCAGAGAAGACCTTGTCTTTGATCGGGGTGTGGTAGGATCTGGGCAGCATGTACGTGTACAGGGCAGCCCCATAGAACAGAGTCACCACGATCACGTGTGATGAGCAGGTGGCGAAGGCCTTCTGCCTCCCTTGTGCCGACTTCATCTGCTGCACTGTGACGAGGATCCAGGTGTAGGACGCAGTCACCACGGAGAAGGGGATCAGCAGCATCATGACACAACACACGTACATCACCATTTCATAGGCAGCTTTGTCCCCACAGGCCAGCCTCAGCATGGTGGGCGCCTCACAGAAAAAGTGATCGATCTCGTGAGAGGCGCAGAACGGGAGACTCATGGTGATGGGGGTGAGGAGGAAACTGTCCAGAGCACCACCAAGCCAGGAGCAGGCCAAGATCCTCCAGCAGACCTGCCGGCTCATGAGGACAGGATAGCGGAGGGGGTGGCAGATGGCCACGTAGCGGTCGTAGGCCATGAGCCCCAGGAGGAAGAATTCAGCCCCCACAAAGCCCATGTAGAGAAAGTACTGGGCTGTACAGGCGGCGAAGGAGATCGTCCCCTTGCCCGCAACATAATCAGCCAGCATCTTGGGCACGATGGTGGAGATGTACATCACGTCGATGAAGGAGAGGTGGCTGAGGAGGAAGTACATGGGGGTGTGGAGGCGAGGGTCTGCATGGACCAGGAAGATCGTGACCCCATTAGCTATCATGGCCATGAAGAAGACGGCACAGATGGCACCAAAAAGGAATCCTGAGGCATTGCTGGGAGTGAAGAGCCCTGTGAGCGTGAAGTCACTGGACAAAGTCCTATTGTCTTCATCCATGGGGTTGAGTTTGCCCTGGAGGCATAAGGAGGGATGTACGAAGTTAGTGAAAATCACAGAAGATAAAATGAGTCATTTAAAAATGTCTGTATGTGCATTATTAAATTAATTAATATCAAGCACTTTTTGGTGGGATGGATTTGCAGCTTCTTCTCTCCTGGCTATTTCTTCTTGGTGAAGAGCAATTCACCTAGCAAAGCTAGGTCCCCATGGCATGAGGATGAGTGGACATTTGGAAATTGGTGCTTGGTTTAAGGGAGTTTAATTATTATTGCAGAACACCCGGGCCCTAGAGAGGACCTTTCACTCAGAGTTGGCTCCATTTATTTAAAATGGGGTACAACTGCGAGACAATTGATTCAAGCAGTTCACATTACCAAATACAGTAATTCAAAGATGCTTGATGGAATTGGAAATTTTTGTGATAATTTTAAAACTAATCGGTCTCATCTAGAATTAACCTTAAATTGTAGACACAGCTGGAAACTATAGTGAGTAGGTTCACAGTGTCATCCATCCAATCACTGGCCGTCCTTATTGTTCCTTCACTCAGTTGTCAGTATCTCATGGATTCACACACCAAGTATTCATGGAGAGTCCCGTGCAGTGTTCTCAGCTCTGTGGATACTGTCATAAACGAAGGAGATTGGGTCTCCTGTGGTTTACAGTCTAGCTGTGGGAGAAGCACGATAAACAAGTAACAAAGGGGAACCTTGGTTCCAGGTAATGCCTTAAGAGCTTTAAGGGAAACTTTAACACAGACACTGAAAGATGACCAAAGATAAGCAATGTGAAGATTGAGGAAAGCATGTTACTACAGAATTAATAGCAAATGTAACATTCCTACCGCATAATGGAGCTTGTAATAGGAAACTAAAGTCAGTTCAGGAAGAGCCTTGTAAATGAGGGGGACGGTGAGTTGTCAGTGGTCAGTTCTTAAAGGCATGTCAGTCAGGGTAAAGAGGTTGAAGTTATTTTTTAATTATTATCAGTCGAAAATCTATAATGGTTTGTTTAACATTTATCAAGTATTCATTCTGATGTTTTTTCACTGTCCCTTTTGTACATTTGAACCAATTATTTTATTTTGCTTGGTTTTACATTTTCAGAGGTGTTGCAGGCATTCCAACAGAGGAACCTATATCTGGGTTTCAGTGGTGCGGTCTGGCTTCTGCTTTCTGTCCTAGTAACCCAGCTATTTTAACATTTATCCCACTCTCTTTCACTCTTAGGTGCTTCCTGATTTGATAAGTCACTCCGAAGCTCTAGAAATGGAGATTGAATAAACGTGTGGAGGACCATGTAGGCCAGAGACTAACAGGAAGCCATATAGGGTCTCAGTGAAGAGCATCCGTGCTGTGGGTGGCGCATTCACATCTTCGGTGTACAGTGAAACAAAGAAGATCCTTTTAAAGAAATACCTTATTAGTTTCATCATCCTTCAAAAGGCGATATTATTTTTGAATTCTTGAACATTATTGTGTGCACTCAGATATCATACCATACAAAGAAGCAGATGGTGAGGCAGTAATTGTACAGAAGTGGCAACTGGTTTCCTGATCTAGGAGAGCCATTATGGTGCCTTTCATCTCTGAAATACTTGAGCTAAGCATGCTTGTTTTGGGACCTTTCTGCATTATTAGTGGTGTGTCCTAATGCATGCTACTTAAAATCTTAGTGCCAGTTCCCTCATCTCTACGGATATCACAGAACCTTAAGGGTTGTTGGGATGATCAAACATCATGACACATATGCAGAGGACCACAGCTGAGTAAATTCGCGTGCTAATCTATTATTAGCTATTGTAGTTGTGAGATAATGCTGGCATTGAGGATGCTTAAAATGTGTTGCTGAGTGCAATAGTCCATTTCTCAGCTACTGTGTGTATCCCATAGTCACAACCATCAGGACACCCTATGAAAAGCAGGCGTTACCTGTCAAACTCCAGCCAGGTCTCCAGGATGGGAGATCCACTGCTCCTGTGGATCTGTCTTCTGAATTATTTAAAATGATAGAATCTCAAAACATTATTCCTGACTATGCAAATAATTGTCATCAGAGGAAATTTTTAGGAAAAGTAAGAACTTGTAAAAAAAAATTACTTTTTGGGAAAACTCATTCCAGGAGGAAGGCCATCATTTCCCAATTGTACTCTCAGATTACACGGTGAAGAATAAGGCATCAGGCAATAGTGAGAATTGCATGAATGACTAGGGCCTAAAGAAGAATTTGCAGGTGTCTGCACTCCTCATGGCAGCCTGGCCCACACTTTGTTTAACGTTGACATGCTCATGAAACCATGCAACCCATCATTGACACTGCACTGGGCAGTGGGTAAACAGGGACACTAGCTATTCCTTGGTTGGGAGAGTGCTGCACAGCTCTAGCCACTGCATGGCTTCTTTACAGCAAGGAAACAAAATGAAGAGAGCCCACATAATGTTAAAGAAATAATTGCAAACCATATATCTGACAAGGGGTTATCATCCAAAATATATAAGAAACTCAATAACAAGAACACAAAAACAGTTGACCCTTGAACAACATGGGGTTTAGGGGTGCTGACGTTTTGATGCAGTCAAAAATCTGTATATCTTTTGACTTTCCCAAAACACAAAGACAAATAGGCTCCTGGAAGCCTTATCAATAACATGAACAGTAGATTAACATAGTTTATATATTATACGTGTTACCTACTGTAATCTTGAGAAAAGAAAATGTTATTAAGAAAACCATAAAGAAGAGAAAATGAATTTACTATTTATTAAGTGAAAGTGGGTCATCATAAAAGTCTTCATTCTTGTCATCTTCACATTGGGTAGGCTGAGGAAGAGCAGGAAGAGGGAGGATTGGTTTTGCTATCTTAGGGGTGGCAGAGCAAAAGGAAACCTCCATGTAAGTGGACCCACATAGTTCAAACCCATGTTGTTCAAGGAGCAGCTGCAACTTGGTTTAAAAATGTGCAAAGGACTTGATAATATATTTCTCAAGAGAAGACATAGAAATGGCGAAAAGACACATCAAAAAATGCTTAGCATCACCAATCATTAGGAAAATGTGAATTAAAACCACAATCAGAAATTGCCTCATATCTGTTAGAATGGCTTTCATAAAAAAGATGAATGGTAACAAGTGTAGAGAAAAGGGAACTATTACACATTATTGACAGGAACATAAATTAATAGCCATCAAAAATGATATTAAAGTTCCTCAGAAAAGTAAAAATAGAACTACCGTATGACATAGCAGTCCCACTACTGAGTATTAACCAAAGAAATGGAAGTCATTATGTCAAAGGATATCTGCACCACAATGTTCATCACAGCATGCCTCATAATAGCCAATAGATGGAAACAATCTAAGTGTCCATCAACAGATGAATGAGTAAAGAAATTGTGCATACACACACACACACACACACACACACACACACACACACAATGAAATACTATTCAGACTTTAAAAGAAGAGAAATCCTGTCATTTGCAACAATAGAGATTAATCTAGAGGACATTATGCTAAGTGAAATTAGCCAGGCACAGACAAGTACCATGTGATCTTATATGTGATACCTAATAAAGTTGAACACACAGAAGTAGAGAGTAGAACAATGGTTGCCAAAGATCAGGGAGGGGGGAAAGAAGGAAATGGGGAATTGCTCATCGAATGGTACAAAGTTTCAGATAAGAGAAACAGATGTTGAGTTTTATTGCATATCGGGATGACTATAGTCAATAGTAATGTATCATATATTTTAAAATGAGAAAGTAAATTTAAAATACCATTAAAAAGGATAAGTTAGTGAGGTGATACATATTGTAATTAGCTGTATTTAATATACCACATTACACACATGTATCATCACATTTGATGTAACATGTATGATGTTACATCATACATGTAACATCACATTTTACCCCATAAATGTGTACCAAGATTTTTCAAATAAATCTGAGTAAACATATATGTATACACATATGTATTTGTATATACATATATATTTGTATATTTGAGATACAATATGAAGAACAAAAACACAATCCCTATTCTCACTAAATGCTTGCACTAGCTGAAGAAAAGTATAATACAAATAATAGGGGTGTCATAAGTGTCCTATAAACAAGGAAAATGCAATGGCTTTATAGAGAATGTGGCCTCTCTACTCACACTATAGAGTGTGAAAATGTGTTGATATGTGTAGAAGAAAATATTAAACTCAAATTATGGAAATACATAGGATGCAGATTAGTAGGGATATTCTATGAAGAGAGAATTTTAGGTGTATCAACTGTACCTTGAAATATAGCCTGGCCTGTGTAAAGAACCAAATCCCAGTAAAGCTGCAGTGTGGAAAGGGAAGGAAAAGAGACTGGAAACAAGGCAGGAAATAGGAAAAGAAAGAGTCAGGAAAAAGATCATGAGGGCTAATATTTGGTCATTTATGTAAAAGGCAAAAGTGGGGATGGGGAGGATTACATGAAAAAACTAAGTAATAAAATGCCAAAGGGGAAACAATGAAAGATGTATCCCAGGTGTTCATCCGGACAGGAAGACGCCTGCCTGTCTGAAGATGCCTGTTGATTGGGAGACTCATCTGTAAAATTTCTGCTTTAATAAGCAATTCTCCTCTGGACTGTAAACCAGGCTCTTTGTTTATTGGAATTTTCTCCTGAGAACGTTATCCCAATTTTATTTATGTGAAAAATGTATTGTTTTTAATATATATAAAGACATATTATTATTACTTCAGGGGCTTTTCTTTTAGCTTATTTTTTATTAGGGTAAGAATGCATAATATGATATCTACTCTCACCAGATGTTTAAGTGCACAATAGAGTATTGTTAATGATAGGCACTATATTGTACAACAGATATCTGGAACCTATCCATCCTTCAAAACTAACACTTTATACCTTTTGAACAGCAACTCCTCATTTTCCTCAAACTGCAGCAACAACCACCATTCAGCTTTCTGCTTCTACTAGTCTGATTATTTTTAGATATCTTACACAGGGGGATCCTACAGTATTCGTCCTTCTGTGACTGGCTTATTTCACACAGCATAATGTTCTCCTGGTTCATTCATGTTTTCACATATGGAGGATTTCTTTTTGTATGGCTGATAATATTCCATTTTATGTGATACCACATTGTATTTATTCATACATCTGTTGATGGACATTTACGGTTTTTCCATATTGTAGCTATTGTGCTGCATTGGACATGGGAGTGCAAATATCCTTTTTTTCCTGAATTTATTTATTTTAGATAAATACTCAGAATTGGAACTAATGGATCACATAGCAGTTCTATTTTTAATTATTTGAGGAAACTTCATACCATTTTTTTTATTAGAACATGATTTTTGTTTCATCATATTATGGAGGACAAATATTGGTAGGGTTACAAATATTGCTCCTGCCCCCTCCCTCCCCCGAAATGTCCAATCCCCTGGTGGTGTGCATCGCACAGGTTATGGAAGCATACATCCCTTTCCTCCTCCCCACTCCCGCCTGCCCACCACCTGCTAGAAAGTTTTTTTGTTTGTTTGTTCTGTTTAACATTTTGGTTACATTGTATATCTTTGCCCCTCCCTAAGAAGGGTTAGAGTTATGCCCTCCCCCTCCAGAATGCTCGTCCCATCCCTAAGATTGGGTCCCCCCCCACCGAATCTCTGGTGGGTATTGCCACCATTTGAAAATCGAAGTTTTAATCAGTCAGTACCAATTTGATGGTGAGTAGATGTGGAGCCCATTTTCCAAGTCTTGTGTTGCCTCACTTTGGATAACAGGTTTAAGCTTAATCCAGGATAGCATAAATGGAGCTAGCTCACTGTCATTTCTTAGGATTGAGTAATATTCCATTGTGAGCATATACCACATTTTAATTATCCACTCATGAATTGATGGGCACCTGGGCTGCTTCCATGATCGTGCAATAGTGAATTGTGCTGCAATAAACATTCGTGTGCAGATGTCTTTATAATAGAATGTCTTATGCTCTTTGGGGTAAATGCCTAACAATGCTATTGCAGGGTCAAATGGTATTTCTATTTCTAGCTGTTTGAGGTATCTCCAAATTCTTTTCCACAAAGGTTGCACTAATTTGCAGTCCCACCAGCAGTGTAGGAGTGTTCCTGTCTCTCTGCATCCTCGCCAGCATTTGTTGTTTTGGGATTTCTTGATATAGGCCATTCTTACTGGGGTTAGATGGTATCTCATTGTGGTTTTGATTTGCATTTCTCTAATAATTAGAGAGGTTGAGCATTTCTTTATATGTTTGCATGCCATTATTCTGTCTTCTTTGGAGAAGTTTCTTTTCATTTCCGTCGCCCATTTCTTGATGGGATTGTTTGATTTTTTCTTGTTAATTTTTTTAAGCTCTAGATAAATTCTTCTTATTAGGCCTTTATCAGAGGGGTAGAGAGCAAATATTTTCTCCCACTCTGTGGGTTGTCTATTTGCTCTATTGATGGTTTCCTTGGCTGTGCAGAAACTTTTTAATTTGATCAGATCCCATTTGTTTATTTTTGATGCTGCGGTGATTGCCTTGGGGGTCTTCAAAAATTCTTTGCCTAGGCCAATGTCTGATAGGGTTTTCCCAACATCTTCTAGGATTCTTAAGGTTTCATGTCTTAAGTTTAAGTCTCTTATCCATCTCCATTTAATTTTTGTGAGACGTGAGAGGTAGGGGTCCTGATTTGCTCTTCTGCATGTAGCTAACCAGTTTTCCCAGCACCATTTGTTGAAGAGAGATTCTTTTCCCCAATGTATATTTTTGTCAGCTTTATCAAAGATTAGATTGCCTTATACTGCTGGTTTCATCTCTGGTATCTCAGATCTATTCCAGATATCTATGCTTCTGTTCTTGTGCCAGTACCAGGCTGATTTAACTATTATTGCTTTATAGTACAGTTTGAAGTCAGGAATATTGATGCCTCCCAGTTTGTTCTTTCTATTTAAGATTGCTTTGGTTATACGAGGTTTTTTCTGATTCCATACGAAGTGAAGAATTATTTTTTCTAGATCTGTAAAGAATGCTGATGGTATTTTCATGGGGATTTCATTGATTCTGTAGATCACTTTAAGTAATATTGACATTTTAACTATATTGATTCTACCAATCCATGAACAAGGTAGATTTTTCCATCTGTTTAAATCTTCTGCAATTTCTTTTTTTAGTGTTTCATAGTTCTCCTTATATAAATCTTTTATATCTTTCATTAAGAATACTCCTAGATATTTAATTTTCTTTGGGGCTATAGTAAAGGGTATTGCGTTTTTGATTTGAGTTTCTGTTTGATGGTTCTTGGCATATATGAATGCTTCTGATTTGTGTATATTGATTTTATAACCTGACACTTTAACAAATTCAGTTATCAAGTCTAGGAGTCTCTTGGAAGAGTCCATGGGGTTTTCTATGTATAATATCATATCATTGGCGAAGAGCGAGAGTTTGATTTCATCTGCCC